AAAAAAAAAATGTTGCTGCTTTAAGAAAGATATTAAATCCTAAATGTGTTTGTAAGCCATGGTTAGTTTCTTCATACGTAATACAACTTCTCTTAAATCAGTCCTAAGTATAATTACATCGCATCAAATTAGTGTCACTTTGTACTAGCTTTGAAACTATTGGTGCTGTTTTCAGAACCGACTGTCAGAAAAATCAGCATCCCACACCATGTAGCAGGGAAGAAAAAATTCCTGTTCAGAGGTAGAGAAGGGAGAAAGGGCAGCAAATTCACAAATGCTTCATACTGGGGGAAGAACTTCGGCAAAGTAGTACATCTTAATTATCTTGGTAATACATGACTTTTGGAATCACTGACTTGATACTCACCTTCATTTGGCAGAACAGTGTAAGTGGTTTCCATTCCAGCATGAATGTGGTCTGTCACGTGACAGTGGAGTAACCAGATCCCAGGTGTCCTTGGAAACATTTCTAGGGTTTGGTATGTCCCAGGGAAAATGTCAAAGACATCAGAACTATAAATGCCCCTGTGCTTAATTAGAAAAATGACAAATATTATATAATGTTTATTGTATGTGAGAATTGATTCAATCTCTCATTGACCAGCTCAATGATATTAGAAAAAAGGGTAAATCTGTTTAAAAAATGAGACCCTACATACATCTATGTTTAATACAAACAGTGAGATATGTGATCCTTGTATTCCTGCTAAACCCTCAGCACTATGGGAAGGAAAGATGTGATGAGAGTGAACCCATCAATCAGGACTGTGTGTTACCTCTTACACTTCGACTCCAGTTTGCCTTTTTGTCAGAGCATTTGTGGTACAAAATGGAGCTGAGCTGTGGCCCCATTTTAGCCCTAATCTCACTGTTGCTGAACCTATCTTAGATTAATTTATCTGTGAAATTTGGGGCAGATGGGGTAAGGAGGGGATTAGAAAAGGAGACCAATGGAAGAGCCAAAACTAGAGGTGGTTCAGGTAGAGTCTTGACTAGACACAAAGTACTTGGCATGTATTTCCATAAGGACAGAAAAAGCCCCGGGCCTGTCGAGCGCCTCAGTTGGTTAAGAGCTTGCCCAAGAGCGCGAGCTCTGAGCAACAGGGTCACCAGTGTGATTCCCACATGGGCCAGTGACGCTGCGCCCCAAGCTGAGCTGCACTGAGCTGCCAACAGGTGGAAGGATGGCTCAGCTGGTGAGAGCATGTGATCTTAACAAAAAGACTGCTAGTTTGAATGATGGGCTATGCCCACCCGCAACTAAAGACTGAACTTGGCACCTTGAGTTGAGCTGCCCGCCGGGTGACTCAGGGGATAGAGCACATGCTCTTTACAACAAGGTTGTCTGTTCAACTCCTGCATGGGATGGTGGCTACGCTCACCCGCAACCAATTGAACACAGCACCTTGAGCTGAATGGCGCGACTGGACTTGGGAGCTGAGCTTGCTGCGACCTCCACAACTAACATTGAAGGACAACAACTTGGCTGTTCCCCTTCCTCAATTCCCCAATACTGTTCCCCTCCCCCAATACCCCAACATTGTTCCCCTCCCCCAATTCCCCAATTTTTTTTAAAAAAAAAAGGAAAAAAAGCCCAGTAACAATATAACGTCGATATAAATAAAAATACAGATAATAAAATGGCCTTTCTGAAGTGTGCTTCTTGGTGGCTTCTGAATTTTACACATTAACTCAAAGGTAAGAAAAAAGCCTTCCAAAAAGGGCTATTCACTCCTGCTGAAATTAGCACTGGGTGAGAAGTAGAAATAGGATTGAGATCTAGGGACCAACCAGTCATGTGGCGACAAACTGATGATCTGGCCACGTAAGGGCATTTAAGATCCGGAACTTAGAACAGACAAAGGATATACTTAAACTTTGCCTCTACTCTGATCCATCATCCAAGCATCCCTACTTTCTCTGCTAACAATTCCATTCAAACGCCTTGTTTGTGAACATGTGAGAACTCCCATGAAAATCCAGTAAAACTGCAAATCCCAGGAAAAGCCCTGGATGTAACAAAGGTTGGTAATGGCAAATGAAATTGCTATGAAAATAATTTAGTCGTCGTTTGAAACTTTGAACTTTTCATAAGTCTCTCTGAGGAAATGTTTTCGTTTGTATTAAAACATTTTCAAGTAGAGCAAGAATAATGACCATGGACGGCTCTTACCTTGTATCGGAAGCTGTGGCCATGGAAATGGACCGAGTGCAAGTCTATTTCATTGCCCATTCCCATCAGATACCAGTTGACTTCATCTCCCACATGCATTGTGAGGCCTTGTAGGTTCCCAAACATCCTTCCGTTAATAGCTGGGGAAAGCATACGATTTTTATATTACTTTTCAGGATATTTTACACTGAGCTATTTCACATAAAATATGATTACTAGATTAATGAAAAGGATCTTTTTTTTTTAGGTAATAGACCCTTTTTTACTACAGATGGGGCAAATTGATATTTTAAGGTCACTAATGTCCCAAGCTTGCTTAGTCACTGGGCACCAAAAGCCTTAATCCTAATTTTGAGTTTATTTAAAAGGGAATGAGATTTTGGAATTGGGAGAGCAGTTAGTAGACAATTTTGAATAGTCCCCTTTTTGCTTGGAACAGAATTCTACCTCATGTACAAAGTGAGGCAGAAGGGGTTTATTGTAAAATGAAACAAGTGAATAGTCTTCAAAGTAATTTTGTCTGAAAGAAGACAAGGGAAAAAATAGGTTTTAGAATAATGTATCATACCATGCATTTTATTGCTTTCTATAAATTCATCATTGTCTTTCTTTACTTTCTCAGGGTGATCAGAGTATGTTTTGATGTTGTCATCCAAGTACCAAGATTCATTCTCATCAAAAACAAAAAACAGAAGGAAAAATTCCAGTTTCTTTATGGGATTTACTACTTTTAGGTAATGTCTCCGACAAACAATCAGTGGGCCAATTAATCCACTGTAGAGATCCTGAAAACAAGCAAAAACTTCAGTCATCCTTGTGATATAGGTCATGATTTCAGAGAGCTGGGACCTTATTGCCCACAGCCTCAGGAATTAGGGAAGGACTGATTTAGGGAGTAGGCTTTGCCCAATGTAGTGCTGTCAAGTCAGTGCCTTTCCACTTGAAGTCGTTACATTGGAGCAGTGGTGAGTTGTAGGTAGGTTACATGGGTGATGCTGAAGTAAGAAATGTGTGCAGAGGCCAAATATGGGTGCAGCTAATGAGCAGCAATGTGAAAGAACCCCAAACAAAGTGTTGGTTTGCCTATTCCATAGGCCAAGCACATGTCAGTCACTAAAAATCCAGAGACTAATCAGACAAAGCCTCTGCCCTCCAGGAATTTGTCTAGTGGGGAAAATCGAGTAATAGAAGAAATGAACCACTTGCTGCGGTAGAGATGCGTACAGGGCTAATGAACAGAGAAGGAAGATTTGGCTGAGCTTCAGTAGTGGCAGATTAGTTCTTGAAGGGCCTTTGAGTTGTATCATGTTCAGCAATTTTATATTTTGTCTTGTGGGTCATAGGTAGCCACTGAAAAATTAAACAAGGGATGGCAGCATATTTGCATTTTAGACCAATCATACTGCTGGTAGAGGAAAGGAAGGCTTGGAGGGGGAAGAGATTGGAGATTGGGAGGCCATTGCAGTAGTTGAGGCAAATTATAAGGATCTGATCTATGGAGATCCAGAGAAGAGGAATGGACTGAGCTCTACGCAGGTGGGTGAATTGCCTGGGTGAGCGAGGGGGAACATTAGGTACTTCATATCCAGGGCTAGAGCTTGAACAACTGAGTAGATTTGTGCGTATGGTGCTATTTATCACAATAGGAAATACAGGAGGAGGTGGAGGAAGATCTCAATTTCCATTTTAGAGTTGCCAAGTTTCCAGTGCCGGCAGAACATGCTGGTGGAGATGTTCCGTTGGCAGGCGTACAGACAAGTCTGGAACTCAGGATTGAGATTTGGACTAGAGATTTAACTCTACAAAAGAATTTGGGGACATAGGTATAAAAATGTCAAATCACTCTATTATACACCTGAGACTAATATAACTAATATAATATTGTATATCAACTATACTTAAATAAACAAATAAATAAATATAAAAAAAATTTTACATGTTGTGATTCGTAGTTGAGTGTTGTGTTGACTTTGAACTATTTACTCAAACAGCAACATCAGTTGTGCTGTGACTGACTGGTGAGGTCAGCATTTTCATTATCATGTAATAATGGAGCTCTGAAATCATATACCTCAGTTCTTTGAGTTTAATGAATTTTCATATTAAAAGGGAAATAAAATACTGTATTGATTAATGTTTAATTCTGTGCTATCCATAATCAGCAGTCATAGAGTTGATACAGTTATAACTGTATCCTTAGAAACAAACAACCCACCCACCCACAAAAAGGAAACCAAAGTGAATTGCAGAGCAGCCTACTTTCCTGGGATTTTACCATACAATTGGACCACAGGAAAACTGTAATCTCATCTTCCTTCAATTGTGTGTCCGTTTTGGAAATTTTCACAAAACACAAATGATTTAAAGTTTACCTTAACGTGATCCACAGTTGAATAGTAAGCCCATGGAATACAAGCAGAATCCTCTATTCCAGCTCCAGATCTTTCTGGAATTTTCCATATGTAAGTGCGAGTTTCACCTGTATTAATCAAGTGTTGATGTATCTGGTTATATTTGGTATATATTTGATACACACACACACACACACACACACACACACACACACACACACACACTAAGTCTTGGTAACCATGACCCAGAACCTGGAAATGTCACGGTAATTAGTTGTAAAAGTAGTGGTACTCAAAGTTTTATTCAGGAATATCATTTTAAGACAAATTGTAAGACACTTTTATATCTTCTTTATCAGTTATGAATTAACTAGCCATGACACAGATGTGATACCATAAAGGCCAGAAGATGGTTATTCCAATATCACAATTTAAGGAAACTTTGCAACAGATCTTTTCTGAGCTTAAAGTATGTTTCTCTAATATACTTTTTTCAACTGTCAAGTGATTTTCCCCCAGTGCCAGTACCTTCCCCACCGTCCTCTCTGTGTCTGTGTATCTGGACTACTCTGTGTAATTCTCACAGCTTCACCAGGGCCTTCTCATTCTCTCTTTTCACCATTGTCCTCAGTGATTTCATGACTCCTGGCAGAGAGCCATGAGACCTCCATCTCATGGGTCCCTGACCTGTCACAATAACCTCCTCTCCAGGCTATCTCCTTCTGTCATCACAACTCTGTCACATACTGGACCACACCCTGGACCTTGACACTTTGAAGATGGCTACTTGCTGCCCCCCATCCCCCTGCCATTTTGCAAAGGCCTCTTCCTCCACCATTTGCCAGGGCTCTTCTCCAGCCTGACCTCTGCTTCCAGTCACCTCAGGGCTTGTCTGTCAGCCATGGCCACTTACTGCCCACTCCATTTATGAAGCCCTCACCATTACATATTCATGCTGTCAGACTTGAACTAGCCAAGTCTGACAAACCTTTATTAGAGTATGAAGCAGGACATCGTCTCAAGGGGTGTGCTGGACTTTCCTTTTCCCTTAAGCATTCATCTTACCCACCCCTAGGTCTTCATCTTTTATCTAAGCAGGACATTTTACTAAGAAGAAAGCACAGATTCACCAACTGAACACATTGTCTCTTCTTCTGTACTCTTGTTTTCATAAGCTAAAAAATGACATTTTCTTCTGTCCTCCATTCCCCACCCCAACCTGCTCTGTCACCAGTGCTCGAGGCCCCAAACCCTGGCCCAGCCTTGACCCCTCCTCCTTCCCCAATTCCCTAATCTTTCAGCAGGTCCTTCTAGCACCACCATTAAAATTGAACCAGATTGTGACCACTCACCACTTGAGCTGCTTCTATCCCAGTCCCAGTCTCATTATTATTTTGCCCAGATTGTGGCAGTAACGCCCTAAATGAGTCTGGACTCTTCCCTTGTGCGCAGTCATTATCCACACACCAGCCACCACAGTCTTTTAAAAAGTGTTCATTGGAGTATCACTCTCCAGCTCCAACCCTCACGTGGGTTTGTAGACTAAAACCTAAGGTCCCAACCATGGCCTCGGTGGTCCCCCTCCCTCCTGCGGTATCTGGTCCCCTGCCCTCCTGATATCTCTCTCTTCACATTCTTTCTCCTGTTGGCTCTGCTGTGGCCTTTGGACACTTGCTCTTTTTCAGACACACCAAGTCTGCTCGAATCCCAGACCTAGAATGTTCTTCCCCCACAACGTCCAGTGACTCATTATTTTTCTTTATTTAGGTGTCTTCACTAGTGACAGCTCCTCAAAGAAGCCCTCCTGACCACCCTACCTAAAATAGCACCATTGTTATTATTGTCTCTTATCCACCTTCATTTTTATAGCACTTTTAGTAAATATATATATATCTATATATCTATATATCTATATCTATATCTATCTATCTATATCTATCTATCTATCTATCTATCTATCTATCTATCTATCTATCTATATATATATATATATATAAATGGTCTCCTTTCAAAGAATATGTGGGTCTTGAAGGCAGGGCTTTTCATTTCTATTCCCTTAAATTGACAAGAGCTGCTTTAAAGAGTAATTTGTTTTTTCTCACTTCATATATTTGGGAACTACTAAATTTCTGAGAAATGGTCCTTTCCTAGAAGCCAACTTTGCAACTAGTAGATGAAAAATACAATTTTTATTAAAGAAAGCACACCCTTTTATTTCATCTATTTCAGCTTTTACTCTGTGTTAAATATTGGTTGAGTTCCCAGTACATTCCAGATATTGGACTAGATACTGGGAATTTAAAATGTCAAGGGGCAGCCTCTACCCTTGGGACCCCATCTTTGGATACAGGCATGGAAACATTTGGCCACATGCTGCACAGTAAATGCTATTTGGGGAGAAATCATCTCGGCTTACTCAAACCTGAGTGTTTGTAGATGTGCAGTACCATCGGATTTTTTCCTTACAGTTCTCCTGGGAATGTTTTGCTATGTGCTGTAATCATACACACATGCAGACACACCTCCCTGTGTCCCCTCCTAACCACCTCCTTCTTCTCTTCCTCAAGACACACTCATTTGAAAGGAATACCTCTCTGATAACATTGCTTGTGAAAAAGCAGTAACACCTATTGCACACCCCTGCCCCTCCCCCCGCATCTCCCCGTACCTGGTAAAGTCGGAGTAACTGTAGAACTCTCTGTTTTCACCCCATGGGCATGTATTGAGTAGGGCCTTGTGGCCATGTTTTTAAAGACAATTTTAACTTTGTCTCCAACATCTGCATGAAGTTGTGGACCTGGCAAGAGGGAAAGCAAGAGTGGCTTATACACCTGCCAGATTGGAAGTTCAACTCAGTACTCAGAGCGAAGATCAGGTAACTTTCTCAGCGTTAAGACCAAGAGTCTGAGGGGTCCTGCCCACCCCATGGCTTCATGCTGTACTGCTCTTGAATTTAGACCTGTTCCCAGAGGATTCAGGATAAAAACACGAGTAACAGCTGCCTCTGCAGATGGTAGTGCATTTCTTATCTAAAGTGCTATGGAGGTTTGGGTCTGAAAGTCCCCTGCAGTGTAATGGCCCAATCCTGGAGTCAGCTGTGATCCATTCCTGGCCAGGAGTCATGAGGCAGCACCTGCTCTCATTTCTTAGAATTTGGACTTCCCACCAAACCCAGCATGAATTGATGGCAGTCCTGCATTTCAAAGAGTGTGTGGGGCTAGCCCTCCCCTCTCTCCCCTCGAACTGACCTTAGCGTGTCTCTTGTCTGGGAGAATTACTGTGACCCAGCACTGAGGCCTCTGCTTTGGGTATCTTACTCCTTGGGCTGAGGATAACCAAGCCCCAGACTCTGTTAGTGTGGAAACACAGTGGGGCTGGGAGTGGTGCCCCCTGCACTGGATGATTTTTAAGAAAATTCCCAAGATCAGTGTTGTCGAGATCTTAGACATTCTGTCTTAAAATGATTACTGAAAAACTAAAGGCAACTTTTCCCATGCCTTGTGCAAGTGACACATTTTTCTTTTTTTATTTCCTTGTCCATATGTACATTTCTTATTGGAGTTAATCATTTACATCTTAATTTTAAAAGCAAATAGCTATGATATTTTTTTATTTAGAGGGGTGGGATAATGGGGAGAATTTGATTAAGAATTTCATTAGCAAGTAATTTCTAAAATTTCACCAAAACTAAAGGCATCAGTTTGATAAACACCAAAAATATACAATTTCATTATTATATGGAATAATACATTGTTTCCGACAGAAATAAGTAATATTTTATTATACTATATTCTTTAGTAACTAGAGGCTTCTCATTTTATTGAATAACTAGTATTTTTTGAAGATCTAATTTGCTTTATTAAATGATTCATGAATCGAGCAGCACCCCATGTAGCAACTAGAACTCTCCTATTTTTTATTTTTATTGCAATATCTTTGATACATGAACCAAGAAAATTAAACCCATGGACATGGTCTATCACTGCACATAGAGGCACAACACTGACCCACACCATATGACCCAGAGCTGTTAGTTTACCTAGAACTCCCAGATGTTCCTCTTCAGCTTTTCTCTCCACTGGAACTTGGAAGTTGCTATTAGTGTATTGTCGATAGACAGCTTTCTTGTACTTTGAGCCTATGTAAAATTCTTCCTTATCTAAAAATGCATTCGAAACACTTAAAAAAAATATACACACAACTAAGGTTACTATTTGACTTAATGAAAGTGGAAGATGAGTTTTAAATTTTAAATATTGAACAGACATACAGTTTTTATTTAAGTCATTATGCTAGGTTTTAATATCACTCTCTCTATTCCAGCAAGAAAGAACAAGACTTTTAAAATAGACCGGTGTGATAGAAAGTGTACCTAGCTAAACATGGAGTCATCGGAGTCCTGGCCCTGACTCTGCCACTAGCTAAAATGAACCCCAGCTAGTCTTGCCTATTGGAGCCTCAGTTTCTTCACTCCTAAAATGAGGTATTCGATGAGATCATCTCTCAGGGTTTTTTTATAGCACTGAAATTTTGTGGGTCCAGATTTCACCAATAAAGTGTTCTTTGGTTACTGCAATGTTTCTGACCTATAGGAACTGAAATGGCCATGTTTTTCTAAATCTATCCTTTACCTAAAGTTTTTATTGATTCCTAATATGTCCTGTAGCCTTTTGACTGTTTTACCCCAATCACTGAAATAACCTCTTACTCCTTTACACCGCAAATTGTAATCACCATCACAGTCCAACTAACCAGCTAACCATTGCTTAGCTACATGTTGTCAGTCATGTTGTGCACCCCAGATTGGAACACATGCTACCCCCCGCCCCCGCCATCTCTCTAATCACATCCTCAAAGGGTTAGCACATGACATGTGAGATGACAGAGGGAGAGTGCTTGGAAAAGTACAAAAGGGCAAACTAGAAGTGAGGTGACACTGCTCTAATGGAATGTTTCTGAAGCTCTGATCACCATCCTTAACTTACATTTATTCATACTGAACTTATTTTTACATTTTCATGATGCACTTGTTACTGGTGGTTTTGAAGGCAGAGACCATATCTGCTATACTGCCCTTAAGAATTTAAAATATTCTTCCCAGGGGCTGGCCGAGTGGCTCAGTTGGTTAAGAGTGCAAGCGCTGAGCAACAGGGTCACTGGTTCAGTTCCCACATGGGCCAGTGAGCTGTGCCTGAGCTGAACTGCTGCTGAGCTGCTAACAGGTGGCAGGACGGCTCAGCTGGTTAGAGCATGTGCTCCTAACAACAAGGTTTCTGATTGACTCCCGCATGGCATGGTGGGCTACGCCCACCTACAACTAAGATTGAACACTGCACCTTGAGCTGAGTGGCAATGGGGGGCCAGGAGGCGACTGGACTTGGAGCTGAGCTAGCTGCACCCTCCACAACTAAGATTGAAGGACAACAACTTGGCTGTTCCCCTTCCCCAATTTTCCAACACTGTTCCCCTTCCCCAACTTCCCAATAAAATCTTTTAAGAAAACAATTCTTCCCATACATAATAGTTTTAAGAATGTGAAATAACTGATCACTAGACTAATAAAATCTTTGGAGGAAAGATAAGATAAACAGCACATAGTTGGTAAGGAAAATAATATTTTAGCTCTAAATTTAGGCATTAATTTTGGTTTAAGTTTGAAAATCAATGACAAGGTAAGAGCATATGAATGTGAGAAAGTCCAATAGAAATGAAAGTAAGATGAGTGACTGCAAAGAATCAAATGAGACCAAGAGAAATTTTCCTGTGAGAAAACTGAGAGAAGCAGAAATTAATGAGGAAGGATTCCTAGATAGTGTTTTGTGGTTATTGTTTAATGCAACTGTTTGTTTTACTACAATTTAGCATAAATCTTACTTCTCTGAAAGAGAAACTAAAAAAAAAAGAGAAATCAGAGTCTAGAGAATTACTTGCGCTCTTGTAAATGATGCAGCTCCTTTTCCCACTTCCTACTTGGGGAATAATCCCATTCCACCTCCACTGCTGCGATGTAGTAGGTCCTCTCTCCCAGGTATAAGTTTGGATTCTCGGACAGTTGCCTGCATTGGTTCACAGTGTATTTTTGCTTCATGCCACCTGTGTAGTGATCAGTTGTGAGGCACTCAACATCAAAAGTCCCTGAAAAGATAAATAAGAAAGCATGTCACTCCTTTGCTCACTGCCTCCTGTGGCTCCTCACCTCACTCCGAATAAACATCAATGTCCTGGTCACCTGGGTTAAATGATCGGGCTTCCTACATCTCTGATCATGTCACCTAGCACTTACTCTGCTCCAGCCACACAGGCCTCTTTGCTGTTCTTAGAACAGGTCAAAGGTGTGCCTGCCTCAGGGCCTTTGCATATGCTGTTTCTTCTGCCTGGAACACTATCCAAAATATCCACATGGCCCTTGCACTCATTTCATTCAAGCCTCTCCTTAATTTTCACCTTCTTAGAGGATCTTGACCCAACTCCCCCGATAAGTCACCAGCCCCTTCTTCTGCCCTATTTTTCTTCATAGTACTTACAACCGTTTGATACTTGCTTGCATTAGAATTTCAGCTCCATGAGAGCAGACACTTTATAACTCTTTTGTTTACTGTTGTATTTACATTTGTCTAATGAATGAAGGAATAGGTGACACTGGACCTATCTTATGTTTTAGTGGCACATAATGTAAAGCCTGAAGTAAGTTAGTATATTTTCATATTTTGGTGAAAATTCTTTCTTTTTTGGTTATTTTGTCTTCTTCAGAGCCAGGCCTGTAGATTTCTCTGAATTTGAATGGCTATATTTCTAGCATAGGATATTCAGTTGTAAATACTTGACAAGCCAACACTACATCTAGGCTACAGAGACATGATGAAAAGTCTAGATGCAGAGCCTTTGTGGAAGTCATCCCTTTCAGTCTGATTTGCCAGCTATCTGTAAAAGGGACCTAATATAAAAGAAGACTGTCTTGAGGATTCTGCTTTATGGAAATGAGAGGAATCCGTCCACTCTTTTGTCACTCCTTTTCCTTCAACCAACCAAGAGGAAATGGACCGACTTGGCATATATAGTGGCCCTGATTTGCTCTTCCAAGGAAAGAAAGGGTACTTAGGAGGCTTAGGGAAGGGAGGAGCTAATCACCCAACACAAGATTTTAAACCAAAACCTCAGGAATTGACCCAATAAAGACTTGTCTTGACTTTAAAGAAATATACCTTTAGTGTCAGGCTGCATGGAGAGTGTAAGACTTGTTTGAGGAAAGAGGTTTGCTGTGTCTCTCCTTTCTCCTCTTGACACATATGTATTTCCTGAAAAATAAATCCCGTGTACATCGGCCTCATTTCCAACACTGAATAAATACCACACGACTGAATCTCCTTGGCACATATTGAGACCAGGCTGATTCCCGTACATAAATCCATTGATGGCTGTAAAAAGGTGAGAAATAACATTTTGAAAGTGGTTTACCTTATGCCCCACTACCTGACAACCTCCCAGACTCTCCAGAGCCAACATTGTTTATTTAATTTTAAAAGACCCTCCAGGCCTGTCTACTCCTCTGTGTGTTGGGACTGTCTCTGCAACTCCTTGCTGTCCCCAGCAATTCCAGAGCCCAAACGAGCAGAGCTGAGGCAGGGTTCTCAAAGCTCTGTGCCCTGGGGAATCTCCCTGTCCTTCCCAGCTAGAAGAACTTCTCAGTTCTCTCACAGGCCACGTTTGTGAATACCCAAATGTATGAGTAATAATAGCTTTTCCTGGGCACTGTAGACTGGGAATGGATTTGTGGTTCCAAATGGAAAATTCTCTGATTCATCTTGAATAATAGGGTAGAGTATTTGCAGGAAGTTTTCTCTCACTGCTATTTCCAATAGATAATATATCCTTGACTCCTCCAAAATTTTAAAAATGCAAAATAAAAAGGAATATTTTAAAGATTGTTGGTAATGTGATTAGTATCCATCCAACTAAAAAGAAAAAATTGATCTGTAACACAAGTTCATGTTTTCATTCTTCTTGCTACAGTGGTTTTCACATGCTGTCCATTAGTGCTCTGGCTGTTTTGAACAATTAGCTCACTGTCTCTAAACCCTAACTGCACTTTAGAATTACACTGGGAGCTAAAAATACATCTGATGTTAGGTTTCAATTAAATAAAAATCTCTGGAGGTTGTCCTAGGCATTTTAAAATAGTTTTAATAGTTTTTAAAAGCTCCCCAGGTGAGTCTACTGTGTAGTCACGGGTGAGAATCATTGAAATTCACTGAGATCAGAGACAACATCTTTCTTCAGATTAAATAACAAAATGAGCCGGTCATTATTAAGCCACAGATGGGAAAAAGTATCTGATTCAGTAGTTCTCAAACTTGAGCATATATCAGAATCACCAGGAGGGTTTGTTAAACATAAATTGCTGGCCCCACACCCAAAGTTTCTGATTCAGTGGGTCAGGGTTGGGGCCCCAAAATTTGCGTTTCTAATAAGCCCTAGGTGATGCTGAGGCTGCTGATCCAGGGATCACATTTTAAGGACCACGCATCTAATTGACATATTTTGTAATGTTTCATCCTGGGTTAAGTGAAATGAGGAAAAATTGGCTGACCTGTGAAATAATCAATGATATTACCCTCAGAGCACGATTGTACTTAATCATTTATTGAAACTTGGTCAATGGGCATACCTACTGGAATTTTGGAGTAATTCAAAGCGTTCCATGTGCAGTGCTGAACTAACTTGGTAAAGTGGCAGATGATGCAGTACTTACAGTGCATCTTATTAGATTCCTGAAAATCTTCATCTTCCTTATCTACCCGATCAGGTGCAGTTGTAAACATTTTAATATTATCATCCAGGAGTAAACTCTCATTCTCATCAAACACTGTGGGTAACAAATAGAACTCCTTGTCTACGTCTTTCTGGAAATCAAAACAAGAACAATGAAGTTAAGACAGAATAAGTAAAGCCGAAAGACTTCCATGCACACAATACTATTTGTGTACAAACACACTAAAGGAAAGATAAGAACAGAAGTTTCCATTCCTCTTTGTAAACTGGGGCTCATGGAATACTCCAGCTGACCACCATAGTTTTCATTATATCCGTGTGGTGGATTTTTAGTTCAACATGATAATCTAAGCCTCTCACTGCACCTAAAAGTTCTCTTTCCTCTCCCTACCTTCCTACCAGCTCTGCCAATGTTAATTGAACCCAGCAAAAAAAAAAAAAAAAAAGTTAAAATAGCGGGGAATATATATACCTGTGCTGGAAATCAGGGAAAGTGCCATCACACTCGTGAAAACACGAAGAATTTCTATAAGGCACAGCAGGTGGAAGCTGACAGAGAGAGGGATCATCTTAAGGGAAGAAATAGCCTGCCAAGTGAATTGAAACAGGAAGCTACACAGCCTCCAGCCATCTGGGCAAACATTCTAGCTCCCCTGCCTCATCTCTGGTGAAAAATAAGTAAGTAACAATGCTGTCTGGTCTACAAAATGATTCAGTAGTTCAGAAGAAGGCAGTCAGTCTAAAGAATCAAAGCATACGAGCCTCTGAGAACAAGCTACTACCTCAGAGAAGATAAAATTTTAGATTATTGCACATCTTCTTCCTCAGGTTATTTTTTCAGGTCAAAAACATGATTATCAAATTTAAAAAATCAAATTAAAGCAGAGACCTGAAGGATAGATTCTGCAGGAAACTAAGTAAATGATGGTGATGAGCTTAAGAAAGCTCCCATAAATCAGGAAAAGATTCAAAGATTAAAAAAATACACATAGCAGAGAGGAGTTATAAAAGGGTGAGACTTAAGGATAATAAATAATAGTGTAACTGTTCACCACCATAAAAAAAAAAGACTGTAGTATTCAGATTCAAAAGTTTTTCTGTAAACAAAGCAAAATTAGTCAGAGATCTATACCTAAAAATGTTCTGGTAAAATTTTTGTACTTCAGAGATAGACAACAAGAACATATTCTCAGATGTGTAAGGATTCCAATAGGGGAATGCTACAATCACTTACATACTAATCTGAAGAGAAAACTTCAGTGAAAAGGTAACAGGTGACATTTTCTGATCAACAAAACTAAAAATTAGTAATAAAAGTACAAAAACTTTAAAACTAAAAAGATCATATTTGATTCAAATAACTCTTAGAACAAAGAAGAAACAAAAATGACTTACTATTTAGTAAATAATGTCCATGAGGACACTATGAGTCATGTATGTACTATAACTAAACATATAAATTGAGTCTGAAATGCATTTTATTTTAAGAAAAAAATGAATAAAAATAAATGTTGTAAATATCTAAATATTCTAGAAAACTAAAGTTAAAAAGAAGAAAGAAATTAAAGACAAAAACAGAAATTAATAAATTAGAACAAAAATTAAAATCGCTAAACTGAAAAATGTGTTTGTTGAAAAATCAATAAAATACACAAAACTGGTAAGTCTAATAAAAAAAATGGAGACAGAACTCAAATATTCCACATTAAGAATGAAAAAGAAATATAACTACATGTATAGGGGAGAAAAATTAAGACCATTATGTACAGTAAATGTGACCAGTTGACTTAGAAGAAGGCACCTGAAGAGACCAATATCTACAGGTGAAATGAAAACAGTGATTAAAACATAAACAACATAACTACTTCTTCAAAGTCACAAAGTCAAAATAACTTTACAGGCAAGTTTTTTCAAATTTCTAAGTAGCAGATGGATTCCTATCTATTTAACCTGTTCCAAAGTATTAAAAACATAGGAGTCCTCCCAATTTATTTAACAAAAATAGTATAATCATGATATAATATCTGAAAAAACACACAAAATTTAAACTAGTGTCACTTATAGCTTACATGAGACATTCTAAATAAAAAGCTATCAAATTCAACACAGAAATATATTGAAAAACACCACGCTCAAGTAAAGCCTTTTCCCAGCAGTGCAAGGATGGTTCCACATTAGGAAATCTTTAATTCAGTTGATCACACTTGTAGGTCAAAGGAGAAAAGAAATATGTTTTACATATCTTTTGTATTTTATTAATAATTTCAAGAAAATTTAAAAATAAATTTTTATAAAATTTGACATTCTGGCACTATCTGTTCCCTTTGCTTTCCCCTCAGATCTTTGCAAGGTTGCCTCCTTGAAATTTAGATGTCACCTCAAATATTGCCTCCACCTTATCTAAACTAGGATTTCTGTTCACTATCACATTACCCTATTTAAAAAAACAAAAGCAAAAAGCCAAAAAACACTTGTCACTTTCTGAAGTTACCTGTTTCCGTTTTTATGTGTTTGCTTATCTTCTCTCCCCCCAACTGCCTCACACCTCCTCCTCTTCTCTCTGCTATACCACACACTAGAGCATAAACCCTATTAAAGTAGGAAACTGACCTATCTTATTTACCAATGAATTCTCTGCCTAGCACAGGAGGTTTTCTGAGCAGCTCAAGTGATTTTTAAATAGAAAAACATTTTCACTAAACCAGAAATAGAATTTAAAAATAACAACTAATAGCCAATGTTATACTTAGTGTTAAAATAATAGAGATGTTCTCATTAAGATTAGACACTAAATAAAGCACTATTTAACATTTTTCTGAATATTTTATCCAATATGAAGCCACATGGCTAGTAAGTGAAAAAGTCAGGATGAGGATTTTTAATGCTTTCTGTAGACCTTCCTGTGTTGTGACTCCTGCATTTGCAAAATGAAGATGATGAAATATGTAGAGGATAAAACTTACACTTTAAATCTCAACTCACTGAGTATCAGTTCCTTCTCTGGAAAAAAAAAATAAAAATGGGCATAACAATACTTAGCCTCTTGGCTGGGAAGGCTAAATTAAGTAATATGTATGAAAGTGCCTGGACAGAGTTCAATAAACATTAGTCTCCTCTTATTCCTTCCCAAGGTAAGCACAAGATCAAAAAATGGGATCCAATGGTAGACAACAATTTTTTTCCAGTAACATGTTTAAAATTTTTAAATGATGACATTACAACAGACAAATAAAAATATCTAGGTATAAACTTAAAAAAAATATCCAAACCTTGTAAGGGAAACAATAAAATACTCTCAAAAACCACAAAATGAGTCTTGAACAAATGGAAAGATGTATTTTTTTTGTGTAGGATGAGTCAGCTTTATAATGATGTCCATTCTTCATTTAATATGTATATTTGAGACAATCCCAACAAAACACTGTCAGGCTTTTCTTTCCCGTCTTTCTGGAGCCAGGTAAGTTTTTAAAAGGTTCATTAAAAAGAATAAGTATGCAAAAAATAACCATTAAAATGATGAAAAAGAAGTGCAATGAGGTTTCGCTACAAATCATTAAAACATATTATAAAGGCTTTATACATAGTATTGGCACACAAATAGATAGAAACGAATGAATCAGAATAGAAAATCAAAAAAATAGACTTAATTTTGTATGAAAATTTTAGTATCTCATAAAGGCAGCATTTAAATCAACGGGGAAAAGTTAGACTTTTTAATAAATAATGTTGAGATAACAGGATAGACATATAGAAAAAGATAAATTTGATCCATTCCTCAGCTGTACACTAGAGTAATTCTAAATGGAACAAAGATTTAAATGTGAAAAATAAAACCATACAAGAACTTGAAGGTGGCATGGTTGAATTGCTTAATAACCTGGGAGATGGGCAAACTTTCTTAACTATGACTCAAAATCTATGAACAACAAAAAAAAGAAAACATGACAGAAAAATTTTTTTACATGCAAATAACATCCATAAACAAACTAAAAAGGCAAATGGCAATTAAGAAAATAAATATTTAAAACTAATATCTTAGAAAAAGGGTTTCTATTCCTAATATATTAATAGCTTCTAACTCAGTGAAGAAAAATAACCATATAGGGCTGGCCGAGTGGCTCAGTTGGTTAAGAGCGTGAGCTCTTACCAGCAAGGTTGCCAGTTCAACACCCGTATGGATGGTGGGCTATGCCCCGCCCCCCACAACTAAGATTGAACACGTCACCTTGAGCCGAGCAGCCACGAGCTGCCAATGGGCGGCCAGATGGCTCAGTGTGCAACAAGGTTGCTGGTTTGACTCTCGCATGGGATGGTGGACTATGCCCCCCACAACTAATAGATTGAAAGCGACTACTAGACTTAGAGCTGAGCTTGCGCCCTCCACAACTCAGATTGTAGGACAGCAACTTGACTTGGAGCTGATGGGTCCTGGAAAAACACAATGCTCCCCTTCCCCAATTCCCCAACACTGTTCCCCTCCCTATTTCCCCAGTAAAAATCTTAAATAAATAAATAAATAAAATAATCACATAGAAAAATAAGCTAGAGATATGAACAGTCACATAAAAGAATTTAAAATGGTGCTTAACCATTTGAAAAGATGCTCAACTACTAATAATAAGAGAAACAAATAAAAATTACAAAGATACTGTTTATGTCCTACTATGTTGGTAAAAATCCCCAAATTTGGCAATAAACTCTGCAGTAAAGCTGTGGAAATACAGATAATGTCACATATACCTGTTATGAATACAATATAACACAATTCTTATGGAATGGAATTTGGCAATATCTAGAAAAATTATATGTGTATTTACCTTTTGTCCAAGCAATACCACTTCTGGGAGTTTATCCCAAAGGTATGCTGGCAAAAATACAAAGAGATGTATGAACAAGGCTGCCCATTGTATTGTATTTGTAAGAGCAAAGTCTGGAGACAACCCAAACACATGTCAAATAGTGGACTGGTTGTATAAACTGTAGCACGTCTACACAATGGAGTAATACTTACTGTAAAAAGAAATGAAAAATGTCTCCATATATTACTGTGGAGGGAATTACAACTTTATTGTTAAGTACAAAAAAAGCAAGAATATGAATACACACACACACACACATTTGTTTATTTAAA